CCAGACACACTGTGGCCTATCGGCTGAAGATGGATGCCCCAACGTTACAGAGAAGCTTTGGGTGACTGTCCAGGTAGAGAGATGTCTCTGCCAATTCTAGAGTTTATATATTATCCTTCTGTGGTCTTTGATAGAATCGAAGACAGATAGTTATGGTTATAGTTTTCTTCAGTTATCCTTTTATTTTAGACAGAAAAGAGGAGATGATGGGAGAAGTACTTCTGTGTATGTTTATCTTATTGATTGTTAAATAAAATACTGTTTGGCCCATGAGACAGCAAATTAGACAGGACTAGGAGTCAAAGAGTATTCTGGGAAATGTAGTAGAGAAGTGGTGATCCAGGCAGGAAGTGACATAGCAAGGAGACCCATATAAAAGCAATGGAAACAGGAAATGTCCCCCTTTTTTGCTCTTCCTCCAGTGGCGCAATGTGATCCACCAGCAAGGAGGGACGCCAATAAGGCGTCCGAAAAAATAAGTCTTAATTATGATAATTGAGACTGAGCTAACAGATGAGAAATCCTAGTCATTGACCAAGCAGCTTTGTGCCTAATATGTCTCTGTATTACTTTGTCCATCCACGAGGCAGGCAGAACTCGGGCGGCTGGTGGAGACCGCCCATGTGGCGATAGGGCTCTGGCGGCTTTTGGCGGAAAGATTTATTGTAACATTGAGGTTTCCAAGAGGAAGACAAAAGTCTACTCCAGGATAGCAGCAACAATTCTTGCCCAGATTCCCAGCCAGCCAAATTCCCTGCAGTCCCAGAGTCAATTGTTTAAATGAACTTCTATATACTTAGGCATCTGCATGTGCATCCTGTCTGCTGTGTTCCCCTGTAGTGTCTTAGGCTGATACCATTATTAATGGTCAAACCCTGGCTCTAAGTCCTGGAGCCACTGAAGAGAGAAAAGGTTATTTGTCAAAGGAATCAATCACAGCTGGGCCCAGCTTGGAAGAGGAAGAGAGAACTAAGACAAGGGGAAGGGGAGGAAGAAAAGGAGGAAGGAAAGGGAGGAAATAGGACTAATAGAGGGAATGTGGCTTGGTGACACCCCTAGCCCACTTGTCCAGCTCAGAAATCTTATAAGAGCAACCTTACTGCATTCCTGGGGTCCTGAACAATTCTCTCCTTGGGAGAGCCACAATGAAACCTGAGCTTTGTGGAGGAACACATCTTAGTGGCAGAGAAAGTGCCTAGTGTGTTCAGTAAAGTCTAGGAGCTCCGGAAGCTGAGCCTTACATTTCTGTCCAACCACAGTTACCAGATTGAACAAATAAAAATATGTGAAATAAATGAACTTCAGATAAGAAAAAGAATCATTATTAGCATTAGTACTGTGTTCTATGCAACATTTGGAATCTACTTACACTAAAGTTATTCATGTTAATACAGCATTCAAATGTAAATGAGTATCCTGTATTTTATTTGAGAACCCTGTCCTGCCCTTCCTCCTCAAGACCTGAGTATTGGTTACACAATGCTATTGTTTGTGTCACAGTCTGTTTGATAGACAATAGAGCTAATAGTCTTTTCTCCCTACAGGGTCTGGATTGAGACAAGAGCTCAGAAGTCAGGAGCACTGACTTGACACATGGACTTGAGCTAAGGTTCCTAGCCCACACCTCTGCTGCAACTGGACTTGACCCACTGGGGCTTCCTGGGAACAGGAACAATGGCCTTTGTGCACGTGGAGGCACTGCCCCCTGGTGGCATAGGAACCCAACACCTGAATCAAAGCAAGAGTGGGGAGGCTTTGTTCCCCATTCCTGGACCCCTGAGGTCATCCAGAAATACTACCACTCTACTTTCTTTGTATACCTTCTTCTCTTGCATTGGGTGCCAAGGATAGCTGAGAGATAAAACACAATCCTCTGTATTACTTTGAATTTGTTCCATAGTACATGTCTAACATCTTACCCTTTACATAACCTTATCTGTATCATAATTTCCATCTGAAATGTTCCTAAACTTGGAATCCAAATACTCTGAAAGTCTTCCACTCTCTATTCTGCTAATGTTGGAATTTCAATGGTCTACAGCTCTGCCAGGTTTTCAATTATACCCAGGTCTGGAAGGATGGCCATGGCCAAGTATGCAAAGTGGGCTGCAGAAAGCTTCAATGGTAGGCTCCTAGAGAAGAAGCCAAGGTTTTCTCATATGGAAGTTAGACAGATGCCTTTGCAAATGGGAAGGAAGAGATCAGAACACTTCTGGGTTAGAGGTATGTCTCTATGTTTGCAGTGTCCAAAGACCTCACACAAATGAAATCATATATCTGAGGAGTATGCTATTAGCCAACTTATTTTGTAAGTTAACAGTATGTTCTGGAGTCCCCACCTGTATCAGAACAGAAGTACATAATTTCTCTTCAACTCATCCCACTAATTTCTCCTCAAACTTGTGAACATGAGTGTCCAGTGCTGTTTGCTTCTAAAAAGCAGTGGGACTGAGTGTTTATTATGGGCATTCCTTTTTGCATGAATGTGTCCATAGAACAGGGAGTGGCACTGTGAGTGTCAAAGGCATGTGTGTTGATGACTTTGAGTTATACTGGCCAACTAATATAAAAGTGCATCCAAAGAGGACGCACAAAGTAGGATCCACCAAGGAAATAAAGTGTTTTTTTTTTTATTTCACAGCAGTATTAACAAAGGGATTATGGGATTTTTTAATGGGCATCATTATGATGGGTGAAAAAATGTTATCTATCTCATTGTTGCTTTAATTTATATTGCTTTAATTATGAATAAACCTGAACAGTTTTATATGTTTATTGATCTGCATTTCTTCCCTATGAACTATCTGCTAGAGGGCTTGAATCTTTATTAAAATATGAGCTGTGTTATTAGCACAAAGGGATGGGGGTGAAAGCGCTCTCTCCCTTCAAGCCAAGCTTCTTCACAGGGAATGTATCATTATTTTCCTTAAGGTGTTGCTCCACTGGGACCAAACACATCCAGTTAAATTACATGCAAGTTTCAGACTGAACCCTGAAAGGTATTTATATCCTACAAAGAGAAAGCGTTTAACTGCACAAACTGATGTGCCCCCCCTCTGTGTGTGAGTGTGTGTGTGTGTGTGTGTGTGTGTGTGTGTGTGT